ACTCAAAACAAAAAAGTGGCGAAATACTTTTGACGTCGACTGTATATACTGTGAGAATGCTCTCACTTAACATCAAAAATTTGTCTGCCTTGTAGGATTGCCTCACTCTATTCAAAACCAACCATCCCATTCAATACACTATTTATCCAACACTATGCCGGTATGTACTTAAACTAAACGTATAACGCTCTATATCTCAGAATACAGAAAGCAGGATAGCGGTATGTTTGAGTTTAACCAACGGTTAAAATTCTGACAATAATAGACTTCGGGAATGGCCATTCTAACAGAAAAAGGAGGAATATTTTCATAATAAACAACCTAGAAGCTACACTTATTTGTGAAAGACCTATTCATGATTCAGAAATTTGTAATAGAAATATTATGATTTTCCATGCGTACATGGTTCAAAGCATCCTCTTTGAAATGGAAATCGAGTAATACCCTCATCCTTCATGGTATAGGTGAAGGATTGAATCTTCTAGAAGTTTTAATATTGGTATCTGCTGATTACGAATTTAGTTTTAAAAAACGTACAAGGTTAAAACGTGTTTTGCTAAACATTAAAAGGTTTATATCTGCATGTGAATCTGTCTGCTTGAATCAGCTGCGAATTATAGATATACTTAGTTTGAATTCTTCGGCAAGATGACAGTACAGAAATGTATAGTATTTGTACTACTCTATATTCTATTTTAAGACAAAAACATGCTTTTCAACCTTTTCGCTCTGATAATCACGTCTAGCAGACAAAATTGACCATATCCTGAGGTTTTGAGTGAATAGGGATTTTTTTAATATCAGGTGAAAACCAACCTGAAAAAACCCTGATGTGCGTAAAACTTGGTTTTCGTTAGGCTTTTCATTCTTTTTCTAAGAATAATTACCACGAGACTCACCATAATTGAGTATCTACAATCATACGTTCTCGAATTTACCAATAGTCAATGAGTATCAACTCTAGGACTTCAAGGAATTCGATCCTATACCTTAACTGCTGGAAATCAAAATCGTGCTTAGCTCCTATGTTGAAGAGGAGACTCTGGACTATCAGTTCATAGGGAAAACGTAATATAATCCTACTGGAAATTTTTGAGACATGGCCGAGTTTTTCGTAAATCTCGCAGAAAACTTGTTTTATAAAACTCTTCTGAACAACCGTAAAACAAAAAGTTTTGGGTATGAAAACATGCTCCCAAGTTTTCTCGTCCGAATGACGAAAGCCGGACCTCTCTAGTTGCTTCCTGTCAAAAGTTATTCCTGAAATGGTCATATACATTGTTTCTTTCAATGGACAACAGTAAAGGTTTGTCTTGATCTAACGAGGGAACCTTTCGAGATGTCCCCTTTCTATTCCAACGATTTGTAAATGGATCGATAAACCTCAGCGCGGTAGTAAATACCCTAAAATGGTTCGTGCCCATGACTCTTGACGACCCGGTTTTCTAGAAAACCAGTTTTTCAAGAATTTTAAAAAATAACCAAAACTCTTTTTTAATGCGGCATGATTGTAGCCCGCAAATTTCGGATTAAAATGAAACTCTCCCAGCTCTACGCGACCTTTCTTTGCAAAGTTATAGAATTTACAAAAATGATAGAGTAACAAACAAAGAGAAGTAGAACGAAGAAAAAAGAGAGAAAAGACAACTTAAAATGATTGAAGTAGGTAAATAAGTAAAGATTAAAGAGAACGTGCACAGATGAGATGTTGTTTGTTGAAAGAGCACAAATGATAGGTTTATCTTTGTTACTTGTCATGTGTTCGATATTGCATTTTTGGACACTTCCTTCATAGCAGATATTAATAAGTTCTAAAAACTGGGTACGAGAATTTGGGGCCATCCGTATCTTCCTCAAACAAAAGGTGCACCACACCAGATACTTTTCTGGTCAATTTCGCTACAACAGTGACTAACAATCTTCTCGTACTTGGATCTTTTTAGTCAGATCCTCAATCCATTTCTCAATGGAAACATCGAAGAAGCACTACATTACCGAAGTCAAATGAGATTTATTATATCACACAATATTCTTATCATATTTCGCCACAATTAGAATATCCAGACATTGATAATCAAATGAAACAAAATCAGTTAGCAATTGTTCAAGTATATGGTGATGGTTGTGGCTTGTTTGAGTCTATCGGGGAACAAATTTTTTCTAACCCCAACCAGCTTCGACTCCAAGTGGTAGACTATATTAAACAGAATGCATCAAGATTTTCAAAGTTTACAAGTGACAATCTGGCGACATACATTGAAAAAATAAATCAAAACAAACTTGGCGATTATGGCTGTATTGTGGCTTTAGCAGAATTGTGTAATATTACGATTATTGTACACGAACACAAGAAAAGACCAATGTACATACAACCAAGTAGTGGTAATAATCACCCACAAGTTCATATTGTATATTATTTGGATCAATCTCATTATGATATTGTTACATCATTAAATGGCGAAAAACTGCACATCACTAAAGAAGAATGCCGCTAGTAAAGAATATTAAAACGTTAAATCTTTATAGACTCTTCGACAGATCAACAACATCGAGAGGAGTCAAACATTTGAGACGAACTTCTGAGTTAATTTTTTTTCTTTGAACTCCCCAGGCGAATAAAAAGTATCGAGTATTGGGCAATCCTACCTAGATAACCCAATCCAATACCCAATATACCTAGATACAAGTAAAAAGAAAGTATTGAGTATTGGGCAATCCAAGCTAGCTAACCCA